TGGGAGCACGAGGCGGCGCCGATACAGTCATCAATGTAACGGAGGAAGAGGTGGGGTTTAGGGCCGGTGTAGGTACGGAAGAGGGATTGTTCCACGTAACCTACAAAGAGGCAGGTGTAGCTTGGGCCCATGTGGGTACCCATGGCCACCCCCTTTGTCTGTAGGAAGTGGGAGGAATTGAAAGAGAAATTGTTGAGGGTGAGGACGAGTTTGACTAAGCGGATGAGGGTGTCAGTGGAGGGGGACTGGTCGGGCCTGCAGGACAGGAAGGAACGGAGGGCCTTTAGGCCATCTGTATGGGGAATGCAGGTGTAGAGGGCCTGGACGTCCATGGTAAAGATGAGGTGTTGGGGACCGGGGGATTGGAAGTTCTGAGGAGGTGGAGGGTGTGGGTGGTGTCACGGACATAGGTAGGGAGTTCCTGGACCAAGGGGAAGAAAATAGAGTCCAGATAGTTGGAGATAAGTTCGGTGGGGCAGGAGCAGGCGGAGACAATGGGTCGACCAGGGCATTCAGGTTTGTGGATTTTGGGAAGGAGATAGAAGCGGGTGGTGCCGGGTTGGGGAACGATGAGGTTGGAGGCAGTGGGTGGGAGGTCACCTGAGGTGATGAGGTTGAGGATCGTTTGGGAGATGATGGTTTGGTGCTCAGGGGTGGGGTCATGATCAAGGGGGCGGTAGAAGGTGGTGTCCGAGAGTTGGCGTCTGACCTCGGCGACGTAGAGGTCAGTGCGCCATACTACAACTGCGCCTCCCTTGGCCGTGGGTTTTATGGTGAGGTTGGGATTGGAGCGGAGGTTGGAGTGGGTGAGAGGGTGAGTTTAATTTGTCAATTTTACCCCGTTATCTTTTCTGCCTTGACTATTTGACTTGCTCCCCTTATCTGCTGTACAAGCCTCAGCCTTTTTTAGGGGAGAAGGGAGGGTTGAGCCGGAGCGTTTGGGGGAGAAGGGATACCGAAACTAAAGAAGTAACCGCATAAAGAAACGATAGAAATTACCGGTGACTTTAGCTGCTCCTTGCAACAGAACGACCAAAGGGAAAACTTGCAATTTGACAAAACTAAGTGTCCTAATAAATGTTCAATTAAAAAAAGGTTATGATGCTGGAAACATTCATAGGTAGCATGTATTGAAGATTAAACCGGAATTATCTGTTCCAGTTATTGCAGTGAAGAGAAGGCACGATGGCCTTAAATTTAATCCTGTCTCTTTGCTACTAATGTTTCGTCTCGAGTCTGCAGCAACAATAAAAACGCCATCAGATTGCTCACATTTACTCACATTGAATAACCGCGACTTCCCAACATGGACAGCGCCATCTTGTCAGGCTCAAGATAATATTATTGACACTCTCGCGACATTGGTTAAAGCCCAAAAAGGTATCAAAATATGGCCTGAACGCTTAATTTAAATTTTTTTTTAAAAAAACAAATTAAAACACGCGAATCAATGTCCATAACAAATTCAAGGCGACATATAAGAATTCATTTCATCCAATAAACCGGTGCAGTCACTCTTCCTGCCAGTGAACCTAGATTAATTTCTGAGAAAGGGTCACTGGACCCGAAACGTTGACTTTGATTTTTTTCTTCACAGATGCCGCCAGACCTGCTGAGCTTTTCCAGCAGCTTTGGTTTTGTTTCAGATTAATTTCAATGGGTAATGGGTGAGCCTCCCGTCTTATTCGCCGCATTATTTTCCCAGTCACATGGCTGAACGTGCAGCTGGAAGATGGATGTACCAGTTTTTTTTTTGTAGATAACGAGGACAGTGGTAGAACAAGATGCTGCCTGGCGCGGGGAGTCTCAGTTTCGTTACCTTAGTGTTGTTGCAAAGTTGAGGAATAATGACGGCCGCGGGGTCTGAGCTCTGATGTCACTGGAATACGGTCTAAGAGATACATGGTGGAGGTCATGTGTTTCAGGACGCGCCTGCGTATTGTCCCCGGGTATGGAACTTTATGTAACAGTGTGGTTGAGCCAATCAGGAGGTCTGTGTGAGAATTCTCATAGGGTATGTTTATTGTGGTCAATTACTATTAAAACACATGCGTTCAAGAGATGTGGGATTCTAGGTTAAGCCATCTCTATTAGCCCCTGAGAAACTGATGCTGAGCTGTTTCCTTGAACTGCTGCAATCTGTGAGGGTAAGTACACCCATAGTGCGGTGAGGAATGGAATTCCAGGATAGTGACCCGGTAACAAGGGATGAACGGCGATATAGTTCCACGACAGGATGGTATGTAGCTTGATAGGGACCTTGCAGGTGGTCTTCTGTGCTGCCTTTCTAGTGGTACAATCGACGAGGTGTTTCGGGCACTGTCGTCACTGTAATGTAGAAAATGTTGATGCAGCGCAAGCTCCCAAAGACACTAGTGTGATAATAACAAATTATATATTTAGCCATGTTGATTGATGGGCAAAAGTTGGTAGGACACCAAAGAACCAGCGATTCATTAAGGTAAAAGGAAATTTTTCTGACATTTAATTTTTTTTGAGGAAGTAATGTGATATACAGATAAAGAAAATGCACAGAATTTGTATATCTGGATTTGTAAAAAGGTGTTTGATAAAGCATGTGTTGAAGTTTTGCTGATGGACGTTACACAGTGTTAAAGGAAGTGTGGTGCAGTGATAGCACCTTTTTGTCTCTGACCGAAAAGGCCTGGGTTTAAGTCTCATTCCAAGATCTGATAGCCATTGCACATGGCCAAACTATCCTTCTAACAGAAACCAATCGCAAGTCCTAAGAATGGGAATGATTCCTGGTAACCTATGTGATAGAAAAGAAAATTGGACCACTAACACAGCACTGCTCATTGTGCTGGTACTCTGAGATGTATGTAAAAGTGCATGTTGACACAACAGTTTGGACTTGCTAGAAACAAAGGTAAAAGTGGAATCCATGATAGTTTGAAAAATAAAAATGGATAAATATTGGAAAGGATAAGGGAACAGGACTAAGTTGACAGGTCTTATGAACTGCTTGACCAAGGTGGGAATATGGATTAAGTCACACATTATCTAAGTGAATGGCAGAACAAATGAATGGCCTATTCCTGCCTTATGTTTTTTCATAGAGCTGGGAGAAGCACCAAAGGCTGAATGCCTTCCTTCTGTGGCATAAAGTTCTATGAAATAAAGGAAGCTAAATTTGAATTATATGTTTCTGCCTGACTGGAAACAAGGAATTTTTTTGATCTGTTGGATACGTGATGCAAAACATGGAGTGTCTACAGTCTAATTGATAAGTTTTCTTGAAATGTATTATCAGATATTACAAGGTGTTTTGAGTTCCTACCCTGTATTAAAGTATGTTGATAGTACCTGTAATACTAAAATAATTTTAACCAGTGTTAAATTCATAGCAATAAATTAACCTGTAATGTAATTTATTGAATTCCTCGAGTGTTTGGATAATACTTAATAATAACTAAAGGGAGGAACTGAGAGGGATGACCTTTCTTATCAAGCTACAATACATTACAGTAAACCACTTGCACAGTGTATCTTGCTTCTCCACTTTCCCTCAGTATCTTTTCACTGTCCTGCACTAAACTTGACGCATCTACAAGTACTAGATATAGCACTTTGTGCAGCACTCGTGTGGCATTTGGGCGTTTCAAAAACAGACAAGTTGTTCCAGGAACCTACAGTTAAATTGCTTATTCATGATGAGTAGCACCACTGGGGGTGAAAATCCATGGCCTTTGTGGTATGTTTCTACCGTGAACTAGACAGGAAGACATCAAAAGGTTGGAAAGTTAAGTCAGGGCCCACGTAAAACTATACTTTTTAAATTATTCATTCATGATGTGTAAGCCTCACTGGTGAGGCCAGCATTTATTGCCAATCCCTAAGTGCGTTTGAGAATGTGGTTAGCTATTATCTTAAACCACAATCTACATGGTTTAACTATGTCCACAGTCCTGCTAGGCAAGGAATTCTAAGGTTTTTCTGAATGAGAGGTGAATATATATGGTGGTCGAGTTCCCAAGTCAGGCTGGTGTGTGACCTGGAGGTGGGGATTTTGTTGAGAGCACATTTTGAATAATGGATCACTGTATGAGAAGATAAAGTTCTGGATATTTCCCAATTTCACAATGGGGAATTAAACTAACAGGCAGAGGCCATTTTAGTTATTTGAATACCTTCACTGTTGCTGAGTCAAAATTCTGGAACTCCCTGTAACAACAATGTTGGTGTGCCTATATCGCACATGGACTGAAATAGTTCAAGAAGGCAGCTTACCGCCACCTTGAACAATTGAAAATGGGAAATTCTTGTTTATACTTGTGTGATGAAGCCATTGGTTGACTGAAGCAAGGTGAGAGATGTTAGGAGGATGCTACCAGTGGCAGAGACACCTAATGCTCAATGTTCCAGTTTCTCAAGGACAGGTAGATCATTGGCAATGCGTTGCTCCAAGTAAAATGCCACAGAGTGGTAGGTGTGGATTCTGTCGGGGGCAATTTGCGTATGATATGAGTTAACCTGTGAATCCACTTAAAGTTCCAACTGGCATTAGAATTAGGTAGGAAGTTTTAGTTAACTTCATAAGTAATGATCATATAAATCATTTAAGATTAATTTTTAATTTATTCTTAAGTCAAGAAAGTAGTCAGGTCAAAAAGAAAATTTAAACTGCAGAAACACAGATGCTGATGCAGCAGATACTTTCTGTGAAAATGCAGTGTGGCTGCACCGGCATTAACCCTGAGGCCCTATTTGGAAGTGGAGTGAGAGGATGATGCTGTGTCACACCAAGAAAGACACAGCAATGGATTTTAGTCAAGGATGGCAATGAAGCACAGGTTTTAGAGAGGAGATAGGACGTCAGTTGGGAAGGTAGGGAATGATGAGACCATGGGTAGCAGGTGCCTTGCACTTTTGGAATGTGTTTTTTTTTTCAGAAAAAGACGTTTTTCTAAAATGGACCATTTTGGAATTTAAGCAATGTTCTGTCTTTGAGATTTGCAATGTATCAGTATCTGATGAATCCTCAGTGCCATGCTTGGAGAACATCTTCTTTGTTAGTACCATGCAGTTTATAACAAGTTTGAATATCAGCCAGAAGGCTTATGCTTTCTGACGCCTTTTAATAAGGTATTTAAATTCATGTGGACTCTAACTGGAGGCGTATAGGTCTGCTCAGATGGAAGGATCTGAGCAGGGCTGGGCGCATACCAATGCCTGCTATTTCTTGGACATATTTAAATGTGTTTACCTTCTAGAAAGCTGTTTAAAAAGAAATTAAATGTGGACTGTTCCTGGAGGAAAAGGCAGTAGGGGGCATACATGGGCTTCTATTGCTTCAAATGCTAATAACAAAACCTGTGTCTGATACAAGAGATAGCAAGAACTGCAGATGCTGGAGTCAGAGATAACACAGAGTGGAGCTGAAGGAACACAGCAGGCCAGGAAGCATCAGACGAGCAGGAAAGCTGACGTTTCAGGTCGGGACCCTTCTTCAGAAATGGGGAGGGGGAAGGGAGCTCAGAAATAAATAAAGAGAGGAGGGGTGGGGCTGGGGCTGGGGAAGATAGGAAGATGATAGGTGAGTGCAGGTAGGGAGTGATGGGGATTGGTCAGTGAGGTGGGAGGGGTGTGTAGGTGGGAGAGAAGGTGTGTCAGGTCAAGGAGGCGGGGATGAGAGGGAGGGTTGGTCATGGGATGAGGCCGAGGGTGGGGAGATTTTGAAACTGGTAAAATCCACGTTTAGGCCATCGGGCTGCAGTCTCCTGAGGCGGAATATGAGGTGTTGCTCCTCCAGTTTGTGGGTGATGTCATTGTGACACTGAAGGAGGCCCAGGATGATCATGTCACCCAGGGAGTGGGAGTGGGAGTGGGAGTGGGAGGTAAAATGGTTCGCAACTGGAAGGTGGTGTTGTTTGTCACACACAGGTGCAGATGCTCCACAAAACGGTATGTCCCTTGACAACAGCCACTCCGCAAACCACCTTCTGGAAGCAGTGACTGCACTGATGCAGATCTTTCCCACGTCAGCCAATCAGCATTAGCACTCTGCTGCCCTCTTCCGGGTTTAAACTAGTTTAAATTTTTTGATGAAGATGGATATTACAGTACAAATGACTGCCTACTCAGTTGCTTCAGTAGATTTGTTTGAATTGTCTCATGTTAGGCAAAACGGTTCATACTAGTTCTGTGATGTACACATCCACAGATGGTTTGTGGAGGTTCTTGGAACAAGACAGCTGCTGTAATCAGAGACAACAAGGTGCAGGGCTGGATGAACACAGCAGGCCAAGCAGCATCATAGGAGCAGAGAGGCTGACGTTTCGGGCCTAGACCCTTCATCAGAAAAGGGGGAGGGGAAGGGGGTTTTGAAATAAATAGGGAGAGAGTGGGAGGCGGATAGAAGAGGGATAGAGGAGAGGATAGGTGGAGAGGAAACAAACAGGTCGAAGAGGCGGGGATGGGGCCAGGAAAGGTGAGTGTAGGTAGGGAGTTAGGAAGGGGATAGGTCAGTCCAGGGAGGACGGACAGGTCAAGGGGGCGGGATGAGGTTGGTCGGTAGGAGATGGAGGTGCGGCTTGAGGTGGGAGGAGGGGGGGATAGGTGGGAGGAAGAACAGGTTAGGGAGGCAGGGACGAGTTGGACTGGTTTTGGGATGCGGTGGGGGGAGGGGAGATTTTGAAACTTGTGAAATCCACATTGATACCATTGGGCTGCACTATCAGCTGCTGTAATCAACCTACTCCATGGAAGCATTTACACTGATACAGCAAGACAGTAATTATTGTTCTGGAGGACAGATCAGTGTCCAAAAATAAAATAGCCCAGAGACTCTCAGAGCAGAGCATCACTAGAATAGTGTAAACAGGAGTTGCACATTGGCACTTTGCAGAATCCCAGATGTTGCTGACTGTTTGGGAATTGCTAAGGAAATTGAATTTTCTGGTGGGAAGTTCTCTTCTGTCTGTAACCCTCTGAGAGAATCCATTTAAGTTGGAGAATTCAGAAGGTTCCAATACCTGGTATATCTGCTGCTGGACCCAACACACCCACCATTATACCTCCCAGGCCTGCCATACCCTGGCATCCTGACTCCCTAACCAACTGGCACCTTAATCCTACACTTACCTCACCACAGCAGCTGTCAAAGTGGCTGACTGTTCTGCTGATCATTGTAATTACAGAACACATTACAGAGACTATTGAAAAATGAAATGTTCTGTTGATTCTCTTTATTGCTAGATTCTTGGATTCCTGAGCAGGTTCATCACAGCCCCTATCCTAGAATCCCCAGTACAGAAGCCATCTGAAGTTAAGTGGGTAAGTTTTAGACTCATCAGGGATGAAAATACGATTTCTGACACTGGACTATCTGGCCAAAGGACTTGAATCTTCAGAGGAGTGATAATCAGCATCGTAATGTTGCTCTGCTCCTACATTTTTCCACTACCATCGAGCTTCACATTCCTGGCTGAGCATTCCAATAGCTCCTTCAGAAATGCACAGCATACCTTAATTGAATTTCCTTCCTTGCAGAGCCGGATTGTTGATTAACAATACGCTGGTTGTCATATTCTGGTATGTGTCACCAAGATAGTGTAAAATTCTGGGACATTTAAACAACTTTTCAATGTATTGGTGAACAAGTCTGGGTAAGTGTAACAGTGAGTAGGAGAATATGTAGACATGAAAGTAGACAGAGTGGCTGAGGTAAATGGCTAAGGGCAGCTGGATAGTGGGCAAGTTGTATAGAGTTGGATCATAGGGTCTAGTCAGGTTGGGTGGTTGAGGTTAGTCACGTCGGGTCTAGGGATATGGAGGGGGTTGTTGGTGGGAGGACTAGCAGTTGGTTCAGTTATGCAATTACCCAGGAATCAAACCAAGACTTTTTCATCTGACATTTCCAAAGATTCCAATTCAAACTGACAGTTGGGACCTTTCCCACATGTCTGGGGATCAAGAAAATTGTCCTTCAGAAGTTCAAAATTCCAAGGAAATTCCCACTCAGTCAATGCATTGGGACTTCAAAGGGGTCTCAATGGGCATCTTGTACCGTACCTTTTGTCTCTGTCAATTCAGGACCATTGTTATACAGTTGGGAACTCCAAATTTAGGCTTATGGTCTGCATGCTGCCTTGGAATTTCAACCGTCTGGCTGTCAAATCTGAGACAACACAATCCTATTAATAACAAAAACTGCACCTGTGAAAAGTGTAAAAAGGAACTCATCTCCCAAACCTATCAGTTCTGAAGAAGAGTCTTGACTTGAACCTTTTTCTCCCCACAGTTGCTGCCAGACCTGCAGTTTCTTCAGCATTCTGTGCTTGTTTCAGATTTCCTGTCTCTGCAGTATTTTGCTCTTTATTTAAATAAAATTAGTTCAATAATAAAAGTACAAGAAATGCTGCAGAAAGCTCAGCAGGTTAGATGGTGTCTGTATAGACAGAGAAACAGAGTTTGTGACCTTCCATCAGAGCTGGGAAAAGATGGAAACGTAACAGGCTTTGAGCAAGGGGTGAGTGGAACAAGAACAAAGGAAATTTGTGTGGAAAAGTTAGAGACAGACAAACTGAATAATAAAACAGCACACTGTTTGTTTGACTTTTTCAGTTATGCAAGTCAGTTGGTGGGGGTGGGGGGGGGGGGGGGGGGGGGGTAGGAGGCATTGTGAACTAGGGTCAAGAGCATGGAGGAGTAGAAAAGGGAATGACTAGGTGTCCTGGGAATGGTGCAAGGCTGAAGATGATGGGTGGTGGGCAGAGGTGGGGTGATGTTGAGTTTTGTGTTCACTTCACAGGTATTGCTTTCAGACAATCTTCTTAATGGTGTATGGATAGGAGGGCCAGGTCAGTCTGCTAAATTTGGGTATGTCACGCAGAGTGGTAAACACAACACTGAAAGGAACATTCAATAGGGGGTTAACAAAAGGCACAACACTTCTTCTTCCACAAAGAAACTGTCCTGAAATGTCCTGTAACTGAAAAGGTATGCCAGTATGTTTATTTCTGTCTGACTAAGCTATTCTCAACAAACAGCAACAATGAACACATGAATAAAGTAAAACCAATATAATGTGAATTACGTTCAAGTGAAATGTAAACTTAAAAAAAAACTCTGCCACCTTTGCGCTCTAATGTGAAAGGAAATGATGTTGAGTGTAAAAATTAGTCACAATGAAGAGCCTCTTTATTTGACCGGAAGACTTTTATTGCTAACCGTTACCTGCTATCTTGTCAGTTGATGGTAAGTTTCACCATCAAAATACTTCCCATACACTATAATTGCTCATATTTCATCTGTCAATACTTTTTCCAATTTTAATTGTGTGGGAAATGGGGGTTTAAAACAACACAAAATTGGAAGTGGTACCCCTTTAGTTCCATAATCTGAAATTGTACACTGCTGACAATGTTGCAGAATTTCAAAGAACTGTACAGTCATTCCTTCCCTGTGTTTTAATTGCCTTGCTACCATATGTAGTAATCCCAGGCAGTTTAAGCAGCCAGTAGCAATCAAGTAAACTAACACAAAGTAATACTTAGCGAAAAGCACAAACAGCAGTGGGAAGTGAATTCTTTTGAAGGCTTTTTAAAATTGGTGTTATGTTTTTGAAAGGATAATCCATCTCCTCTTGAAGAAGATTGTGGTCCCTCACACTTACCCACGTTGATTTCCAAATTATGTACGTTTATCTATTTTGCTAACCCAGAATCTCTTACTGAGATCTTTTAATTGATGCAAATTCTGCTTTCCCCTGGCAATTGTGCCAAATATCTGTAAACACAGATCTGGCAAAAAAATTCCCTGCAATATACCATACTTTTGGCTTCAAGTGCTTTTTCATTCTTTCTATGTCTCTCAAAATTACATGACATACTGCACAGAAAAAAGCCATTCAATCCAATCAGTACATGTTGGCATTTATATGCCATTCAACACTCCTCCGGAGTTCCTTTTAAAATATCCTCGTAAATTCAGAGTTATGAATGTATTGGAGTTCAGAAATGAATTACAAGAATAGTTTCAGGAATGAGAAACTTTAATTATGAGGACAGATTGAAGAAGTTGGGACTGCTTTCCTTGGGAAGAAGAAAATTAAGAGGAGATTTGATAGAGTTTACAATATCATGAATGGATTGGATAGAGTAGATAGAGAGAAGCCCTTCCTGCTTGTAAAAGGAACAAAAGCAAAAGGGTATAAATTTAAAGTGATGTGCAAGGATGATGAGAGAAAAATGTTTTTCACGCAGCAAGTAATTACAGCGTGGAATGCAATACCTGGAAAAGTGGTGGTTCAGCTGAAGCATTCAAAAGAGCACTGGAATGAAATAATGCAGAAGGGAATGGGAGATTGGCACAAGGTAATGATACTCATTTAATAAGCTGGAGCAGGTATGATCGGCCAAACGGCCTCTTTTTGTACCGTAACAATTCTGTGATTGAGTTCCTTCTAGATTTTATCATCAGACAGTAATAAACAAGAAAAGACTTCAGACCTTAAAAAAAAATACTAAATATTACTCTCAGCAGTTTTGACCTAATTGTGTGCACTTGTTAATTATGCAGACATGACCAGATTAGGGAGATCAAGTCAATAATTTCCTGTGCTTGGCTATGTGTATCCAAAGTTAAAGTGATATCAGACGGAGTTTCTTATAGGTGACACAAAGAGCAGGTAGAAAACTGACATCATTCTCGAGTGACAGAAAACTGCTGCCAGGTGTAAAATGAAATAACTTACACAGTTGAATAAAATTAATCTATTTTACTTTTTTCTAGTCGTCTCCCTCCATCTCCCATTTCTACTGCAGCATTTCAACCATTTCCCAACCTTCCAATGACTCCTAGATAAGAAGGAGGTTGGCTCTAAGTGCAGGCTTCACCCCTTACTCCCAATTCAAGAGCAAATGCTCTCACCTCCCATCCCCACATCCACTTCTCTGTGACCCTGGAACAGGCTTCGCCTCCATTCACCCACTGCAGGTAGCATAACCCACACCAGATCATTTGGAATACATATAAACTTTAACACTATATTTCCATTAATTTATATGTAGTCCCTAAGTCTCCATTGTATCAATTTAAATATCCCACATTTTAATAGACATGTTTAGATACATTGGAGTTCCATTTATTTTGAATAGGTCGAATACAAATTAGATCAACAAAGGCACAACTACCTCCAAAATAAATCTTTGCAATACATACCACTTAAGTGTTATTTGCCTATGTTAAAATGTTTTGGAAAATGATCAAACACTGTCTACAACGTGGCCTTCCTGTGTAGCTATGCCCTGAATCCTCCTCAGCCTCAGCCTCAGCTTTGCACTGCATCATTGCCTAACATTTACTGGATAAACGTTCCTGGTTTTGATACGTGCTGTGGGAACTGCCTGCAAAATACAGTGTGATGCCCAAGTTGACTCTTATGAAGATGACCCACCATATCTTCTGCCATTGGGCACTTATGAGCCTCCATCTGAAATCAGATTTTTAAAGGACAGAGCTCTTTCTGGCAGGAGCTGCTGGCCAATTGAAGGTCTGAAGCCACTGCACTCAGTGATGCTGCACAGATGCACACAGCAGCTGCCGGGAGAGGGGTTCAGGGAAATCTGTAACAAGGGCAGGACGTCGGCTGTCAGCAGCCACCCCCTGTCTCATATATCAGACATTGAGTGGCTTCGATCAAGACCTCCTCAGCCACCTACTACGCGGAAAACTAGCATGCACATTTCTTTTCTCTCAGGTAGGCTGTTTTTCGGCAGATCCACTGACAGCTGGGGTATTCCTATTTAAGGACCTTCTCTCCTAGAACTTGGTTCTGGCAATGGTGGAAAGGTGTCAGGAATACCTCTGCTCTGCCTAATTAAATGTCCTTCCCACCTCCTACCTCACCTCTTCCCAGACCCCCTGCCATGTCAATTGATTTTAATAAGACAACACTATTTCTGTCAGATTGAAGAATACGAGGTTGGGGGAAATTGCACAGCCGCGATAGTGATTTGGGTACAAGTACTAGTTGACATAGTGTTTCTCTTTTCAACTAAGGCATTTTGCATGATTCCTCAATTCGAATTAAGGAAGAAATAAAGGATGGCTAACTCTATTTAAATATAACAATTGATACACAATTGTACTTAACCAAATTCTAAGTGCTGGTTAATCTAATTTGCACATATTTCTAGCTGCTAAACAGCTGATGGATTAAATGATTCATATCACAGGTTTTACATTGACAGCAAAACATTTGATATAAAGAGAGGCCACGTATAATCTAACTCCATTGATTACATTTTTGTGTTTAATTGCAGCGTGCTGAAATGTTCGGTGTGGTTGTTGTTGGGATTGGCGTCGCTGGCAGAGTTCGGATCCGCGATCTGCTGAATCCACTGCCAAACAGCGCCGCAGAAAAGCTTAAACTCATGGGTTTTGTCTCCAGGTAAGAAATGTTAACGTTGTTTCAGTGCCCAATCGCAAAAGGTCGTGACGTGAAACTGTGAACTGTTCTGGCTAAATTGGGACCACATTTGTCAGCCTCAATTCAAAGTAAATGGTGTGATTTAGCAAGAGGTTTTGGGGGTCAAAATTCCTCGAGTATTGTCAACTCTCGTGCTAAGATTACAATGGTGGATCCTCCCTCAACCCGCCTGTCCCATCCTTCTGCTGAGAACACTGGACCCCTGGCTGGAGAGTCTTTGGAAGCTCACAGAGATGCCATTAAGGAGTGGAACCACTATTAAGCTCTTACTTGTCATCTGCAAAGAGACATGACAGCGGACATATCCCAGTGTTGAGAGCCCTTATGTCCATGGCCTACAAGAGGTGCAGCATAAATTCAAAGGCCAGTGTATCAAGGGACAAGAACAGCTTCCACCTCCACTGCAAGTCAAGGCCGCTGCAAATCCTAGGCTTTTTAAAATTGGTGTTATGTTTTTGAAAGGATAATCCACCTCCACTTGAAGAAGATTGTGGTCCCTCACACTTACCCACATTGATTTCCAAATTATGTACGTTTATCTATTTTGCTAACCCAGAATCTCTTACTGAGATCTTTTAATTGTTGCAAATTCTGCTTTCCCCTGGCAATTGTGCCAAATATCTGTAAACACAGATCTGGCAAAAAAATTCCCTGCAATATACCAAACCTTCTCCAATCAGAACAACAGCTATCCGCCCTAATTCCTTATTTCCTATCCATTTACGAATTTTCTATCTAGATTGCTGAATTTTGTAACACTTTCAAATTTCTAACAAGTCTCTTGTGAGATACCCATTGAATGATTTCTGAAAATCTATGTGATCCACAGACACTGATCTCCCCATACCTATCCACTCAGTCACTTCAAAATATTGAATTCCCACACAGAAACAATGTCGTGACATGCTCAACAAACTCCTTTATGAGGGTAAATCATAATTAAATAATGGAACCTCCGCAAACCTTGCAAACCTTAGTGGGGTCAGGGCAGAGGCCCAAATAAGCATAGTTAAATTGGGGTGCATCTTTGCTGTAGATATTATGGGATCCTCATTTCTTGCACACAATTGCTTCCTCATGCCTTATCACAATTTTCTACAGTGTCCATTATTTGCCAAAGCAATAAACCATCAGTCTTCCCGGCATTTATACTGGATTGTGATATTGACAAAGATTTACTACAGTCATTTCAAGTATAACTTTCTTACAAATTTTCTTGGATTTTCTAGGGATGATGCCTTTGTAACGATAGCAGTAAATCTTTGCTTTGTGAGTGTCAGACAGAATAAATCAACAGAATACATTGTCTTTATCTCAGCCCAGTTTAAAAGGCAGTTTAAGCCATTGTTTTCAACTGTGTTATTTATTGTAAACAACAAGGCACTTTTTGCAACACCCTTTTGGTGATTATATTTTTTCGTTTTTGTGTGTTGTTTTGGTCTCCTGGTCAAGGGCTGGATATGAAATGCCATTGCCAGGCATGTTTTTGGTGGCATAACATGTAAAATGAGGACGGTGCCCAGCCCACATCTTGCCACCCATTCCTGAGCTCAATCGCATAGCACGAAGGTTGGACAGGTGCTGAACTGCAGCCCATCCACTACATCTAAACAAATAATTATGTATTACTTCTTTTATTCACTCCCAAGATGTAGGCATTAATCACTACATCAGTGTTCATTGGCCATTCCTAATTGCCCTTGAGCAGATGATGGGCTGCTGCCTTCTTGAATTGCATCAGCCCTTGGAGTGTAGGGACATCCACAATACATAATGAGGGAAAATCATACCAGATTCACAATGTAAGCTCTGTTTCTCTCTCCAAAGATGCTGCTGAGCTTGTTGAATTTCGCTAGCATTCTCTGTATTTGTTAGTGGTTTTCTTTCATCATGCCAGTTGTATCATCCCTATAAATGAGTCTAATAATTGCTAATGAAAAGTGTGGTGCAAATCAAGTGAGGACAGAATTGGGTTCAACTATGAACAGACATAAAGATTGCTAATAATTAGGAACATAGGAAGATGGTCGTAGTTGTGGGCGGTCACTCATCTCAGGTCCTGTACATCTCCGCAGTAGTTCCTCAGGGTAGTGAACTAGGCCCAACCATCTTCAGCTGCTTCATCAATGACCGTCCCTCCATCATAAATTCAGAAGTGGGGATGTTTTCCAATGGTTGCACAATGTTCAGCACTATTCGTGACTCCTCAGATACCAAGCAATCCATGTTCACATGCAACAAGCTCTGGACAATATCCAGGCTTGGGCTGACATGTGGCAAGTGAAATTCACACCACACAAATGCCAGGCTATGACCATCACCAATAAGAGACAATCTAACCACTGCCCCTTGACATTCAATGGTGTTACCATCACTGAATCCCCCACTATCAACATCCTAGGGGTTACCATTGACCAGACACTCAACTGGACTCACCACATTAACACAGCGGCTACAAGAGCATGCCAGAAGCTAGGAATACTGTGGTAACTCACCTCCTGACTCCTTACAGTCTGTCCGCCATCTACAAGGCACAAGTCAGGAGTGTGCTGGAATACTCCTCACTTGCCTGGATGAGTGCAGCCCCAACAACACTCAAGAAGCTTGACACCATCCAGGAAAAAGCAGCCCACTCGATTGGCACTACATCCACAAGCATTCACTGAGCACCAGTGGTGGAGGGAGTAGCAGCAGTGTGTGCTGTCTACAAGATGCACTGCAGACATTCACCAAAGATCCTCGGACAGCACCTTCCAAACCCACGACCACTTCCATCTAGAAGGACAAGGGCAGCAGATATATGAGAACACCACCACCTCCAAGTTCCCCTCCAAATCACTCACCATCCTGACTTGGAAATATATCGCCGTTCCTTCACTGTCACAGGATCAAAATCCTGGAATTTCCTCCCTAATAGCATTGTGGGTCAACCCACAGCAGGAGGACTGCAGCGGTTCAAGAAGGCAACTCACCACCACCTTCTTGAGGGCAACTAGGGATGGGCAAGAAATGCTGGCCAGCCAGCGAAGCCCACATCCCACAAATGAATGAAAAAAAAAGGTGCTATTTCCTCAACTGGCCATTCTTTGTGAGGAGCAGTATTTGTGAGAGTTGGGCTCACAGTGCTTGATGTTCCATCTATTGACTTCAAGGGACAAAAATTCGGGTGTATTAGACCTGTGATTTCCTGACGACAGGCACTGCTCCAACCTTATCAGTGAATCAGCCACTTGTATCTAGCTCACGTAATAACAGTGGGCAGCATGGTAACTTCAATAAAAATCTAATCTGTGGCAAAGTTTAATGAGAGAACTGCAATGTTTTATTTTCTTATGATGTTGCATCAAATGTTTGATATACATGAGCACCAGCGGCACCGATCACCTACAGACAACGGCATCTGGCATCTGCCAATCCATCATGATTATCCGGATCACTGGCAGACTGCTCGCAAGGCGCAAACTTAGTTGCATAGAAGTATGCAGCAGCAAGGCTGAAGCCGGAAAAACTTTGCATAGAGGCACAAGCTCCCAGCTCACATTGAACCAGGCTGTATCTAAGGACTGCTTTGCTCTCTTCGCACTCACTCATTTCACACCTACCTGTATTCTTACCATCATCCTTGCCTTATCATGTTTTTCTCTGTAAGCATGTCGATGCTTCAGTCAAAGCCAAAGGCTGTCATCACTATTCTAAAGGGCTGTTTAGCACTGACACAAAGATTGCTCATAAGCATCAGAATGACTTGGCATTGGAAGCTGGGAACAACTTGCTGCATGGCACACTGAGAGTGCAATGTAATACCTTTTGAATGTGCCAACTGCCTGCATGGCAAGGCACATTCATTTAACAAAAGTGCTGATAACAAGGGGGCATAATCTTAACATGAAAATCAGAAGGTTTACAGGGGATTTGAGGAAAGATTTTATTTTGCCCAAAGAGTGGTGGAATCTGGAATGCAGTGCCTGGTAGGAAGGCAGGAAACCCTCATAACCTTTAAAATGTACTTGGGTTAGCATTGAAATGTCATAACGTTCAAGGCTGTACGCCAAGTGCTAGAAAGTGAGACTAGTGTAGATTTACAGGAGCTTTCCGTCAGCGCAGACTCAATGGGCCGAAGTGTTGCCTCTTCTGTTCGATGTGCTATTATATGAAAATGCACTAGGCAGAAACTGTTTGGGGTTAGTCCTTAGTTCGGATCAAGTGGAGTGTCACTGTCTGTCGAGGTGTCCCCATACCATCCATCACGGGCACAGTTCACACACAGTGACTTGCCTCAGTCACAGTTAGTTGTCCATTTGGGACACTGAAGCGATCCTGTTGTATTTCAGTGGTGGAAGGGTGGTGCTTGTTCATCAATGTGCTGGCCCTACAGGACTCCATTGTCAGGGGAATTGCCTAGCATTAGTCTAAGAGTTACAGGTACAGCAATCGGGACTGATCATCAAAAATGATCATGGGTTTCAGACAATTATAGTCTTGGTGATCCATGCATCCATATTTCTGAAGGGTTGGGGGGAGAGAGGGATCAATGACAGATGTGGATGTATGGACGGGAGGGTGGTGTTGTGCTGTAGGCACGTTCTCACCAACAAGTGGTTGATACTCCGTTGGCCTGGCACCTCAGCAAATTACAGCTCATCTGAGGTGGAATGCGGATGTCCGAGACCAGACGAGAGGCATAGATAGAGTGGATAGCCAGAGACTTTCTCCCAGGGCAGAAATGACTATTACAAGGGGACATAATTTTTAAGGTGATTGGAGGAAGGTATAGGGGAGATGTCAGAGGTAGGTTCTTTATACAGAGAGTGGTGGGTGCGTGGAATGTGCTGCCGACAGTGGTAGTGGAGTTAGATACATTAGGGACATTTAAGCGACTCTTGGATAGGCACATGGATGCTAGTATAATGTAGAATATGCAGGGTAGTTTGATCTTAGCAGGATAATAGGTCGGCACAACA